TAGATATAGATCCCCTCCAAAAATTGAGAGATACATGACCCATATTTCTCTTGTGGGAAAAAAAAAAACCAATGATAAAAAATATTGTTTATGTCACTCTATTAAAAAATAAATAAGTGCTACTCAATTAATAAAAAGAAAATAAAAAAAATAACAATGACACCTAACTACTTAGAATAGTATAAATAATAAACATTCACAAAACTATGACAAATCATGTATTTTTCTCTTCCACATCTACCCAATTCAAAGTCCACAAAGAGTTCAACTAAAGTGAAAATGAATCAAATTTCTTGGGATAAATGAACCACATAATGTACTCTAGACCCAAAAAGCAAAAACAAATTGCCTTCTTTTTTTTTCTTTTTTGCCTCCTGAAATTTGCTAGTTGTTACATCTTAATACTAACTATATAAAAGAGTAGAAATTTACTTCCTTTAGTCGTCATTTATGCACCAAAAATTATTCTTCTTCTTCTTTTTCTCTTTTCTTGGTTCTTTTTTTTTTCTTAGCTCTATTATTTTTAACTTTTATGTCCCGTACATTTTTTGTTATTTTTTTGCGTTTTCTCCCCCTTTTATCTTTTTTCTTTCTTTTGTTTTCCTGTCCTAAACCATAAATTCTTGTCCTAAATATTAATATATAAAAGAGTAAACATGTGACTATTATTCATATTTAGTAGTTTAAAACAATGAATTTTGTTAATAAAATTGTGATTAGTCAGAGTTGTACACTAATAAGGATAAATATTTTTTAAATATTTTTGAAACGTTTTTAAAAGTTTAAATACTTTATTTTTAAAATGATTGAAGTAATTAAAACTGTATTTACTAATAAATATTTATTTATTGACATAAATAATTTATTTACATCAAGTATTTATCACTAAATAAATTATTTACACTTAACAAATTAATATTTATGAGTAACTATACAATTTACTTCAATCTCTCTAAAATATATTATTTACTTAAAAAAGTTTCAAACACATGCTATTTATTACCCAAAAAAAAAGTTTCAAACCATTTAACATGATAAAGTGATAGGTGTGTCGTTAGTAAAAAGGAAGAGTGGAGAGAAAGAAAAATAGAATGGATAAAAGTTGTAGTTTGAAATGATAAAACTTATTCACTTATAATAAATAAGGAGCTTTTCTCATAGGATCAAAAAATAAAGAAATAAAATGCCGAAAGTTCTCTATTTTAAGCTGTTAGATCTGTATAAAAAACAGTATGTTTTATATACTTTTTCAATCTGATACAATTTTAACCAAATTTGACGTTTAGAAACTGACACCATTATAAGGACTAGTAGAAAAACTCCCTAATAGATAATCAAGAAAATAGAGCAAAGTACATTTACTTGTAAATTCTATTTAAATGAGAGTAATTCTGGTAGAAAGTTAAAAGACAGCAACTTAAAACTTGATAGACATAATTTTCTAGTCGCTCAAGAAATTTCTAAAGAGCGCACATCTTCAGTGTCGTTAGTTTAGTTTGACAAGTAGGTGGCTTTCTTTCGAAATCGTGCATGAAGAACCAAAACCATTAGGTAATTCACTTGATATTTGTGAGGGACGTTGGAGAGTTTCAGATGTTTTGCTCACTTGCATACACTATATTTTGGGCACATAGCTTTTAAGAATGGAACAACCATTTTTTAACAAATCCTATTCTACTTTTTCTTCTTTTTTTTTTTTCTTGAAAACAACAAATTTGAGCTATCCCAATAAAGTTCTCTAAGGTCCCGTTCATTTCACCAATTCGAGTTTAGAATTCGAGTTTTACTATAGTAAAAAACTCTCAGAAACAGTCATATCTAACTTTTTTGGTACAGTAAAAAGCCCTCACATAAATTAACATCTCAACTCGAATTAAAAACTCGAATCAACGAACTAAACGGGCCCTAAGTTTTCCTAGGTATGAGAAAAGCGGATCAATGATACACTTCATCTTGTGTATTAATTGCTTTTAGTTCAAGAGTTTTTTTAACGGTCTATTATTGTTAATTTTTTATCCTTGGATAAAATTAAAATTAAATCAAATTCAAAATGTATATAAAACAGGTAATTTTTTTAACGATAAAAATAAAAAACTATCAATAATTTATTTTTATGATCCTACTAAAAAAACTCTTTTTAATTTATCAATATTTAGTTGCCGTCATTAGATAATGAGGTGATTTTAATAAAAAAAAATTAATTTTATAAAATACCACCCCCTAAATTATATCTAAATTATATATAAAATCGTTTAACAAACTCTTTCGATACTATTATAATATCATAAATTCAAAGTTAGGAGCATTTATAAGGTAAGGTAGTTCGAAGGGTGTTTTGAATTATTTTAGATAATTAGCGGTTGAAAAAACTTCTTTCCATGTTTTGGTCGCATGTTCAACCAAGACACGTGATTTTAAGGGAGATTTAGAGAAATTAAAAAAGTGAAATTAAGAGTCTGTTTGTTTTATATACTCAAACTTAAATTACTAATTCTACTATAATATTTTTTTAAACAAAAAATTTAAATTTCAAATGTCAACAATTAAAAGATCATAGTTTGAGTATTCTTTACAAACGGACCCTAAAGAGTTGTTTAAAAGCTATACTCAAATTCAAATCATAATTCTACTATATTGTTTTTTTACCTTATAAAAAGTTTGAGTTTCACAATTTTCTCTTTTACAAAGTTCCGCCAATAAACTCAAATCATGATTTGGATACACCTTCTAAACGGATTCTAAATTTTTCGTGCACGTAAGAGGATAAAAATTTAGGAGCTTTCTATGGTTGGTATCTTCACTGGTAAAGCGTGCTTTAAAAGTATTTAAAGCAATAGAACCTATTAAAAACCTGATCACAATGTCATAATATCCTACCAAAGAATTCTCAAGAATTATAGAAAAATTCCTTAAGTACTCGTTTTTAGTCGAAATACTGCACATTTGATCCTCTTATTATTCAAATGGCTCAAGAATTATTTATATATACATGTGTGTGTATATATAAATCAACCCGTTAAGGGCTTTTTCAAATTTCAGGTACTATTATTATTATTTTTTAATTAACAACACTGGTAGGGGATTTTAGACACTGGAATAATAATAGACGCAAACCTGTAATTCAATTAAATACAAAGGGTCTTTCAGGTCCTTTCCTAAATTATATTGAAACAAAAAGCAAAGACAAGGGCCGTGGAAAGTGATGACTCAAATACAAAACATCTCCCTCTGCATTAATTATAATGTTGGTAATTTGGGTAGGGACACGACGATACGACTCAAAATACACACGAAATTAGTGAGTTTGAATTTATTATAAATAGGTTTGGGGTAAAATCAGATCGAACCTCTGAAACACGATTAAATAGCGTGTTATTTTCAGGTTGACCAGTCAACCCACACCCACCGTAACTCGTTTATTGAACGTGACATATTTAGGTAATACGAATACATAATACAATTACAACCCGTTTGTTATCTATGTTTACAAATATATATATTTTTAAAGCAAAACAAGTTGAGAAATATGTTGATACGACCTTATTATCACTCATTTTATAAACGGGTTATTAAAAACAGGTTGACACGATACTATTATAACATGTTTAATAAACAGGTGAGTCGTATCGTGTCATGTTAGCCCGTCAATATATAAATCGTGTTTGGATTTAATATTTCGACACGAATAATGAATGAGTCGTGTTCGTGTCAGGTCTTATCGTATCAATTGAAGAAGTCAACACGACACGATAACATGAATTATCACTCTTAATTACTTATTGTCTGTTCCCTAATTCTCAGGTCATTCCCCCCGTTAGCAAATTGTTACTTCTCAGCCTAGTGTAAGTACCAAGCAAAATTAAAAAATAAAATAAAGAGTATAAACCGGCTTTAGAGAGAGAAGAAGAAACGCTTTAACAGAGTCACGATGCTGTTTTTGGACGCGTTCTCGGGCTCCTGACCCAATATTTTCGTCCCAACGATGAGCAGCGGAGGCTGTGTTTTTTTTTTTGTTGTGAGACAAAGGTCCCAAATCTGAGACACATTAGCGTGGAGGTGCTAGTTCTGTTTTTTTTGTCGGACTAGACTATTTGTTCTATTTATTACTTTTCTCCTGGTAGTGAAGACATTGAATTTTCTGATGCTAATCAATAAAATGTAGTTTTCTTAACTCAGAAACGAGTCGGCAGGGGGGGTATAGTTTTATATTGCAGCAGGTTATAAACTACATTGAAAAATAAAAACAAAACAAAACATTTGGAAGAGTTTTCACACGCCTAAAACGAGAGAAATCAGAGACTATTTGGAATTGGGATTATTGTCGACTCGCAGAAGTTCGGTCAATAAAAAGACTCTCTTTGCAGGCTTAAATTGGGCGGTCTTCAATTTTTTACTATTCGTTCATTTCGGATTTAAATTTTTAATTTAAAGTGAGATTGACATTTTTTAGAGTTTTTAACTGTAATAGAAAAAATTAAATACGATATTTTTTGAGAATTTTTAATTATAAAAATTTAAAATAAAAAACTCGAATCAATAAAATTAACAAAATCTAATTCAATATAATCTACTTGACTTTTAACTCTGGTTCAAATTAGTATTAAACAGTGTAAAATCTGAACGTGAAATAAATCATCATATCAGTAATTAAATTTGATATGATGATTTACACACACACACAAGCACCAATATGTTTTACATTATGCAAGGTCAACCAATACGTGCCCAATTTGGAGATGATCCACTTTTGAATACATTATTAGCTATTTCTGGAATGGAACCAACCTTGGTCAACCAAAAAAAAAAAAAAAATATATATATATATATATATATAACCTTAAACACGAGAGTATTTTCTAACCCCTCAAGAAAAACTATGACTCACAAAAAGAAGAATACTTATCAACCTCGTATAGCTAATTATCCAATCATTTTCATATGCTCCCAATTTTATAAAATTTTGATGCGTTTAAATCAAATAAAAAAATAGTTATAAGTACCTGTTTGGAGAAGTGACTGCAAAATCAATCCAGCGCCGTTGATCTTCTTGCCACTTGATGATCCGACCGTCGGATACGCCGGTGTAAGGGCCGTCGCCGAGGCTGTCAAAGGCATAGCTCTCGGGACCAAGAGCTCCAACAATTGGAAGAAATTCAAAGTGCCCAAAATCATGATGATCATGATCATGATCGGAAAGGCTTTTGGGGTCTTTGGTAGAGAGAGAAGCGAAGTCGAAAACATGATTTGCGGCGAAAAGAGCAGAGAAGAGAACGGCAAAGGCCGCTGCCGTGGAGAAGAGTTTGGGAGTCGTCATACTTTTGGTATGCAATAAAGAAAACAAAATTTATTGGGTGGCATGCAAGAGTTGTGGCAATCAAGTAATGTTGTTGTTATATATAATTGTTTTTGTGGCAACAAATTTATTTAGAGAATTTCGAGGGAAAGCGATGTGATGTTTTGCATATAAATATTATAAAAAGACGTTTGGTTCATAGATTATTAGAATCATGAGATTAAAATTATTTTTAATTTATGTGTATTTTTTATGAGAGAAAATACTACAACGAATTATGAATCATGATTCAAATCAGGGTACGAATCCCTTTACCAAACGTCACAAAATGATTCATTATTCAGACATGTGGCAAAGATTCAAAAAGAAATCTTCGGAAAACCCGTCACTTGTTTAATAAGGGAAAACAGATGAACTCCACACGGCAAGGTATTTTTATTTGCATAGTACATTTTTTAGATAAACATTATGTATGATTAAAATTACATTTGAAATATGTAAACTTCAAATTAATCAGTATCATTATGACAGTTTAAAATAGTACTTTATCACCTCTCAGCCAAAAAAAAAAAAAAAAAGAGTACTTTATCACCATAAAAAGTACTTTATCAGTAGGTATTTTTTATTTTATTATAATATTTTATTTTATGGATCAAATATTTTCTAGCCTTATTAGTATTTCAGAAATAATATTAATTTTGAGAATTTTGCTGTCAATGTCATGTTAGATATTCCTAATAATTATATAAAATTATGGTAGCATGTATAGATTACTCTTGAGATTATTGTTAAAACTCCTGTGTTTGGTATGAGTTTTTAATTTGAGTTGATATTTAATTTTATATGAGAGTTTTTTTATTGTAGTAAAAAAGTTAGATGTGACTGTTTCTGAGAGTTTTTTACTGTAGTAAAACTCAAATTCTAAACTCGAATCGGTGAAATGAACGGGAGTGGAAAATGATAAAATGTGTCGTTAAGAAGGAATTGAGGAGGAAACGAAAAATAGAATGAACAAAAGTTGTTGTGTGGCCTACCAATTTTTATATCTCCAACATTGAGTGGAAAACTTAAATTCATAACTTTTTTATCCCTATTTTAAAGCTAATTTAATATTAAATAATTACTAAAATAGTCATGTAGTATATTACATATTTTCTTTCTTCCTATCATATCAAACAACACAAAAAATAAAAGTGGAACAATATATTTTTAAAACACATAAAAAAATTCAAATGAAAAAAAAATTCACAAAAAATAAAAAAATAGAAAAAAGAAAGTGAAGAGGCTATGTAGCTTATTAAAAAAAAAAAAGAGAAACTTTGGCTCTTTTATGTATTGTTAGATTAAAAAACACATAAAAAATTTTAAATATAAATAAAATTTACAAAAAAAAATGGACGAAGTGCCACATGATAATCACATAAAAAAAACTTTGGCTCTTTTATATATTGTTGGGTATATATATTTTCACATTCACGTTATAATTCATGATGAGTTGTGCAAATAGTATGCAGTACTCAAGAAAACATTAACCTGCTGATTGCATGTATATATAGCCTAGTAATAGTTCTATGCATGACCCCAACACAACTTATATAGTTCAAATCCTCTATCTAAAATAATATAATAATAAGAAAAGGACAACATTAATGTCACTATACTTCATTGATTATAATGTATATAGATATTAAGACTTTTTCCCCATCTCCCAACGAGAATGCAACAGGCAACATCAGACGGTTGATACATCCTCCATCAAGAACGGTCTATCGTCATTAATTAGTGCATGAACGCATATATTAAATGATCTGCCTTGTTTTATTAATCGAAAGAACGTACACTTAAATAGATTAGGGTTTAACCACCGAGTCTATTATCTTTTTCTAGGATCACGGTAGAAAGATTTCTACCAACTAATCTATTTTATTTGAATTCAAACTCTAAAGTGATAACTTTTAATCTATATAATCGGAAAATAACAAACTAATTAAAAAACTATTCGATTTATTCAAACACTCTCTAAAAAGATCTTATCTGCTAACACTCCCCCTCAAGCTTGGCTATAGATATCAATGAGTCCATGCTTGCCTACAAAGTACTCGAACGTTGGTCCAGGAAGTCCTTTAGTGAGTATATCTGCAACCTGTTGGCCTGTAGGAATGTACTCAATGCTGATAATTCCCTTTTCTAGTTTTTCAGTAATAAAGTGTCTATCCACCTCCACATGTTTAGTTCTATCATGATGAACTGGGTTGTGTGCTATGCTGATTGTAGCCTTGTTATCAAAGTAGTGCTGCATAGGAAACTCACAACTGATCTTCAACTCTTCTAGCAACCGTTTCAACCAAATTGCTTCACAGATACCATGAACCATGGCTCTGTATTCAGCTTCAGCACTGCTTCTTGCTACTACGGACTGCTTTTTACTACGCCAAGTCACCAAATTCCCCCAGAGGCTTGTGCAATATCCGGATGTTGATTTCCTATCTTTGACAGATCCGGCCCAATCTGCATCAATGAAGATTTCCACCCTTTTGTTTTCTTCTTTTCCAAAAAATAATCCTCTTCCCGGAGTCTTTTTGAGGTATCTCAATATTTGATAAATGGCTTCAAAGTGTCCTTAGCACGGTGAATGCATTTGTTGGCTTACCACACTTACTGCAAAGGCGATGTATGGTCTTGTATGCGAGAGGTATATTAGTTTTCCCACTAGCCATTGATATCTTTCTCTATCAGCCATCTCTCCATCAATCGTTTTTGCCTTGCCTCCTTGTTCAATTGGAGTCTCTATCGGTTTGCACCCCAGCATACCCGTTTCTTGCAATAGGTCTAGTGTATACTTTCTTTGTGATATGGAGATTCCACTCTTGCTTCTTGTGACTTCCATTCCCAAAAAATATCTCAGTGTCCCGAGATCTTTAACTTCAAACTCTATAGCCATCAATCGTTTAATTTTCTCCATTTCTTCAAAGTTGTCCCCAGTAAGTATTGTGTCATCTACGTATACTATTAGGACTGTGATTTTTCCATTTGATGAGTGCTTAACAAACAACGTGTGATCAGTTTGTCCCTGTGAATATCCCTGGCTTTTAATCACCCTTGAAAATTTGTCGAACCATGCGCGGAAGACTATTTTAGTCCATATAACGATTTTTTCAGCTTGCACATCATCTTGTTTCTCTTACCCTCTTCAAACCTAGGTGGTAGGCTCATATACACTTCTACCTCCAATTCACCATTTAAGAAACCATTCTTCACGTCGAGTTGAAACAAAGGCTAATCCAAATTTGCCACTAGTGATAAGAGGACCCTTATTGTGTTAAACTTTACAACGGGAGCAAATGTTTCAGTGTAATCAATTCCATAAGTTTGTGTGAAACCTTTTGTAACGAGCCGTGCTTTGTATCTTTCAATCGGGCCATCCAGCTTGAATTTGACAGTGAATACCCATTTGCATCCGACGACACTCTTGCCTTGTGGTAGTTCAACCACACTCCATGTGTTATTCTTTTTGAGCACTTGCATTTCTTCAAGTACTGCAGTTTTCCATTCAGGAATAGCTAGAGCTTCTTCTATTGACCTGGGAATATTGACACTAGACAGCTTTGTGGTGAAGGCACGGAAAAATGGAAACAGATTATCATATGACACAAATTTGGAAATGGGATGTTGTGTACATGATCTAACACCTTTCCTATGGGCAATTGGTATATCTAGTGTTTCAAAAGTTGCTTCGGAATTACCTGGAGCTGAGGAAGTAGTTCCTAGCACTGGTTCGGATTCTGGGCAGTGCATGGTGTTCATGAGGGGCCTGTTTCCTTGAGAATGTTTTTTCCGAGAGTAAACACGTAGCACTTGTTGATTTGGCACATTGAGGTCTCTTCTTGTTCCTGTTTCAAGAACCGATACTTCTTGTGTTTGCTGTGGCATATTTTCAAGTGGTGGTATGATGTCGGAAGGGGTGAGCTCGTATGTGGTGGGTGTAGTTGCAACTGTTTCGGTCTCGGGCAATGAGGTCACAGACATAGGCAGAGTTTCAGATATAGGTAGGGCAATGGTGTCCCAATCCCACACATGAGCTTCTTGGCCATGATTCTCCCCCTGAAGCGAAGTGGGGGAATAATATGGCATGTCTTCAAAGAATGTGACATCACGGGAGATAAACATTTTCTTTTGCTTTGGACAGTAACACCGGTACCTTTTTCGGGTTGGAGAATAGCCGAGAAAGATAGTTTTTATGGCTCGAGGGTCAAGTTTGGTTCGGTGTTGAGGATGAATATGGACAAAGGTAGTGCAGCCAATCTTGAGAGGAAGGTTATTTATGGTTTTAAGATGCGGATAGGTTTTTGTGAGCTGAGATAGTGGGGAATGGAATTTTAAGGTGCGGCTAGGTAGGCGATTTATGAGAAACGCAGCAGTTAAAATGGCATCTCCCCATAGGTATTCGGGGACATTCATTGTAAACATGAGTGCACGAGTCATTTCCAATAAGTGCCTATCTTTCCTTTCCGAGACTCTGTTTTGCTGCGGGGTATCAACACATGAACTTTGATGAATGATCCCTTGTTGTAGCAAGTACTCCCCCAAGATAGATTGAAAGTATTCTCTCCTGTTGTCTGTTCTCAGGACACAAACCTTTTTCTGAAACTGGGTTTGGATCATGTTATTGAAATTTTGGAACACTTGGCAGGTTTCTGATTTTTCTCAGAGAAGGTATACCCAAGTTGTTCGTGTGTGATCATCAATAAATGTCACAAACCCTTTTTTTCCATTTGTTGTGGTAACTCTTGATGGTCCCCAGATATCACTGTGAATTAAAGTAAATGGGCTAGAGGGTATATAAGGTTTAGGAGAAAATGGTACCCGAGTGTGTTTTGCATATTGGCATATGTCACAATGAAAAGAAACAGTACTTTTATTCTTGAATAAGAGTGGTAACAAATGTTTCAAATATAAAAAATTAAGGTGGCCAAGTCTATGATGCCACAACATTATTTCCCTATTACTAGAAACAGAAACAGATGAAACTCCAGATGCAAATGTTTGTTGACTCTC